AGGCTAAGCCAACTTCAAGCAACCATGTTTCTCGGTGAAACAGAATATTCTTAAGTATGCAAATAGAAAATGTCAAACTTGCCAACTTTACCCATTATCCCCAATTTCCAAGAAAGTTAGTAACAGTAAACAAAGCATCATTTACTCTAAATTCGATTATCTATTTGTATCTTCGGAGCAACTGAATTTTGTTTTTATCTGATTTTCCTGAAATTTAATTAAATCACTTTTTTCTAGAAAGTCATCATGTAGGATTAACCCAGTTGTAATACATATATGCAATGCCTCACATGCTATGATATCTAATATTTTTAACCATTTACAATAGAAACTAGGTTCTCATGATCTGAGACAAATTAGAGGGTGCTCACTGCTTTATCATGGGTAGCAATTTTGCCACATCTAACGAATTCAATCTCTAAATAACGAACAAAGACAATACAGTGGCTATATTACTTCATTGTATGTTGACAATTAATACTATTTTTTAGAGAGACAAAATGAACAATATTTCCATATTTAGCAGCTTTTCCAGTAGTAGAAATATTGAAAACAGAAAGAATTTAACTGTGTAATACACCCACAATTAAATGCATGTCCTAATTATGATTCATACAACTTTCTTTGTGGTAAACTTAACATTTTCTGGACATGTGCCACTTTGCCCACTAGAATATTCATCACTTTCATAAACTTCAAGTAATTAATTAAAACATGACTAATATTAAGTCAATGTAATTTAACAATTATTCAAAATCCATTCAATATTTCATATTAATATAAATCACTTTTAAAACCAAATATTGATATTCACCTACTAGATTCAGAGAGAGGGAGAGAGAGAGAAAGAGAGATTTCCCATGAGATTTCTTATCCCTACACTATTCAAAACACTACCCAACTGCACCCACTACACAACCTTTAGCCATTTCTTTTCTCTTCTCTCCAATGCTGGAGTGATACAAATTGAACTTCTTAGGAATTGCCATGCTCCCCACACACCAGAGAATTTCACTAGACAATTTCTTAATTAAACTAGAAAACTTGACAAGATTATGACCATTACACACACACATTATATATATAGAAAGATTATTATACATACTGAAATACATTATATATACTGAAACAAATTTGCCAGCTACCATTACAATGTTTAATACTCCGCATATCTGCCCTACATTAAAAGGTAATTTCTAAATGTCAGAGTTCTTTACCAGAAAATCAAAAGTAATTCTGATAAAATTGTTTGTTTTCTGTATAACCTAATCAGTGGTTCCAACGTTTCAATAAAATCAACATGTAGAACATAAATTCAGTAGCAATATAAGTCAAAAAAAATTACTCATTTTCTCTCTCTGTAATTCATTCTAAGGCAGGAAATATTTGAATTTGGCACAAATTTTGAAACACCTTGAATATTCACTGACAGTAATAGCACTGCCAGTCAGAAGCCAGTGCCACTGTGCAGTTTTACAAAATGGGTGACATTAGTACATGTTTAAAACCGATTATTGATTTTCTGATGGTTATTGAATTTTTGTTGTGCTAACAAGGCCGGACACCCATACAAATACATGAACCTTTGAAGAAAGCGTTTGAAAATGCTGATGCAGACTTTAGGGCTTTGGTGATGGGTTCAGAGCTGGAGTTAATCTGAATTGATAGATTAATGTTTCTGGCCATGTCAACTGCTAATGCCATTAGTCCCGCAAGTGTAGTGTATGTTTTTGTCATGGAAGATGGCCCACGATGGTGAGATCTGGCACTAACTACACACAGACTAGCAAGAATTTTCCCAAGCAGTATCTCCCACCAGCAGGACATTGGTCCGTGGCCCGTTTGTTAGGGTACTGCTCCAGCATTCATAGAAACCAATGAAAACAACCGACAAGTGCAGCCAGCAGTCTTTCAGTAGCTAAATTCAATCTAGCTAGTGTCAAAATACTGCCACTGTAAGGATTCAAACCCTAGGACCTCCTGGTGAGACGCACTGCAGTGACTAAAGCCCTAAACCACCTAAGTTGGTGCAGTTAAGTTGGAAATAAAGAAAAATTTGCTCAGGCAGATATGCTGCAGAGTGGTTATCCACACATACCAGTGACTCCTGAGAATATACATCAACGTCAACAACCTTAATTCAAGGGAATAGTTGGATAAAGTGTCACTATTGAATTGTGGTCTATAATATTGATTGGAAAAGGTGGCATATTGGTGACTGGAACTATTGGGTTATTGAAAAAGTGCTCAATTTGTACCAAGAATGTAGAAAATACAATGCAGATGAGAAAACAATAACTACCATTCTCCTGCACTGCTATGTGATACAGGAAAAAAACAAACTTTAAAATTGTTACAGGTAACAAAATATGGATTTGTAATTTTTAACCACAGACCAGAGACAGAGCATATGGAGAAGTATATCACTTCACAACATCTCAGAAGAGGGAGAAAGCCAAAAGTGAATTCCCTGCATGGATGGTTATGGCTACTGTCTTTAGGGATGCAGATGAAGTGATCCTTGTAGAGTTTTTTGGAGTAACGAAAAGCAATGCAGATGAAGCTTGGTGAATGCCACACCCTCTCTCAACTTCCAAAAACACCAGTAATACCTCTCATGACTTGTTAATGGTACTGAGAACCCTGGAAGTGGTTAGCAAATGCTAACTCGGATGAGTGCTAACCTCTTTCAACCTTCCGCAAAACATACCTGCAATACTTAAGGGGAGAGGACGAGGAGAGAATAAAACCCTTTGCAGTACTTAAAGATATTAAAAAAGCTTGAAGAGTGCCTCTGGTGAATTCATCGTTTGAAAAATTAGCCTTGATATTCTCCCTCAAGATAATACACCAGCACACACTGTAGAAGCCCACCACAGTAAAAATTGCAGAATTTCAGTGAAAAGTCGTATCTCATCCATCGTCTAATCCGTATCTCCTTCACATTACTGAGAGCGTAGGCTTCCGCGGCCGGAGCCGGTATTTAATTGGCTGTTCGGGTGACGCCATGTCCATGGTAACAGTGCCAACGTTTCGGTCACCATTCTGCGACCTTCCTCAGGGCATAATGCCCTCAGGAAGGTCGCAGAACGGCGACCGAAACATCGGCACCTTTTGCCATGGACGTGGCGTCACCCAGACAGCCAATTAATTATTAACATTTCTGTCTAACCACATCTCTAAAATTAAACCTAAACACTTATATTGTTTCTGCAACAACACACCTTGAAGCATGAAATAACATCAATGGCTGAGCAAGTTGGACAGCAAATTTTACCATCAGGAATACATACTATAGTTCGACAGAGGACAAAAACTATTGTTAAGCAAAGAAATAAATAATTTATAAAGAAAGTCCTGGCAATATTTTCATATGGAATTTTCCTTTCTTCTTCTTTGAAAACTAAATAAGTAATAAATTCAGAGGCATTTTATATCTGACTAGCCCATGCACAAGAATCCGCTTCACCATTAAGGAATTCGTAGAAATTGATTACTGCAAGGCAGGGAGCTCACATGACACATGGCACATTATTTTCCCAGTCTCTTATGTCTAGAGGAACTATTCACATACACGTAGTTTGGTTGTTGAAAAATTCTGTACCTCAAGGCAAAGAACTGTAACTCACAATTACATTTCTTTAAAGGCAGAAATAACTAACTGTTTACTTAGTTGTTATACTGATTTCTTTTAACATCCTTAAATGGGCACTAAAAATGTGTGTGTGTGAGTGTGTGTGTGTGTGTGTGTGTGGGGGGGGGGGGCTACTGTATTTCAACAAAGAGGTTTCTTTCTTGCAATTATTTCATTATCAATATTTGAAAATCATGGAAAATGAAGTTACAATTTCATCTCCAAGATACACAATTCAATGCCCCTTTTTTCATTATTCTGATCCATGATTTTTTTAATGTGACTGTTGCAATATATAAAATAATGTATGTATGGTGACAGTGAAGAATTTTTTAATTCTTTACAAAGTACTCAATAGTTTCTATTATTTTAAAGAGACAACTAGCATTTTTTAAAATTACTTTTTGTTACATGTACAAATGTATTTATATTTTGTTGAATATTTTACTAATGCTATTGTTTTTCCATCAAGAATAAATCAAAATACACAATGTGCTTTGATCTATTTTCACACAACAATTAGTTCTTCAATATTTGGGTATTCTAGACCTGGTTAAATGCAGTGGGCTCACTGTATGTTGCAATGCAGTGGAGGTTGTCAACCTTACTTATACTGACTAGCAATCTTTAAATGCAAACTGTGTTTTCCTACTTCCTTATTGTGATTTTGGGTGTTGCATCCCTTAACATGACAAAACAACACTGATGTCATAAAAACAATGAACGAAAGTAGAGATCAATTGGCCAGAATTAAGTCCTGTTACATAGTTCAATTAAAAATGGTGCATTTGAATTGATCAAAAAAGTATTTCCTAAGTTTCGTAGTTTTTCACCAAAGTTGGCCATGTAAATGCAAACAGACTTGAAGACAATATTAGTGCCATTGTGTTGTGCAATATAACTCAGAACGCCACAACACAATGTCCGAAATGTCAGTTTAATTGAATTGACTGTCGCTGTTGGACTCGGACAGCCAAAAACCAAATGACTCCTGCCTACAAATCCCTCTGCTAAGGACTTTTATATTTTCAGTTCACATCGTGGTATCAATAGCATTTCCCACATGATACAGACAGGTATGCAAACAAAAGTCATTTGGTGTTGCATAAATTAAACACTAATTAGAAAGTTAAAATGCTGACTGAAAAACATCTAATACTGTTCAACAAAGTTGCCAAGGGTAGTTTTATCGTTTTGTGATGCAGGTCATGGATTGTTTACGTTTCACTTTCAATCCTGCAGCTAAAATAATGCAAATATTAATTAATTCTTCAATCAAAAACTTCCGGTATAACATTTGCGCAGCCTTAAATCTATTCTGTGGACAATAAGGAAAATACAATTTTTTTGTAAGTGTATGCCTTACTTGAGACATTGACACATAACCTTCATTGCCGAACTGCATCTTACTTAGTTGATTATTTACAAGTGTAACTATATCTTCGAAGTGTTTGGTGAATTGGCCATGTTTCAGCAAGCACGCACATAAGGTTTGCACAAAAATTGTACCTGGGAAAACAAAATACAAGATTAGAACCACAGTGAATAATTTATTCAGAAAGCTTCTAAAAGTGTAAAATGAGTTTTGCTGCATAAGATTATGTTGTTTCTTGTGTCATAAATCTTTGTGTGAAAAATAAATAATAGTAGACAAGGTATCCAACATAAAAGAATTGAGTTAACAATTAAAATTAAAACATATATATTGCATCCAACCTTAGCATTCTGTTCTTTCTAACGAGTTAAATAAGGACAGTACATTGCAAGCTTGGGTTTTAAGAGTTTCCAACAGCAAAAACCAATGTTCCGAGAAAACTTCTTATACAACACACAAAAGTATAATTTTTTGTGAGAACTCTTTGAAATATTAAATTTCTATTATAGAAACTGAAATAACAAAATTGTAGTTAGTACTTTGTTATTTTATTATTTGACTGAATTTACACATAGATATCTGAAACTAATTTTTTAACCATTATTTACAAAATGGGTTAATTACAACTTTAGATTAAATGTTGCAATAATTAATGAATCATTTAAACACTTATTTTACATTTCATTAAGAGACATTCCATGCCAAATCGAACAATTTTGAAGAAAATGTAAGCTGATCATTTTTAATATTCTTGGTAATTTTCTTACATATTCTACCGACAAAATTAAAGGGCACAAGTTTTTGTACTGTTTTTATTGTCAAATGTTATTCTCTGCAAAGTTACGATTCTTTAAAACATTTTCATGCAAAAAATCATTTGGAGCACAAAAACAAAAAGTAGTAATTAATGTAAATAATGAAGAAAATGATCTCTTTTAAATAGCAGATTTTTTACAACACATATTGTTTAAGGCAAAAGTGTATCTTCAATATTATGGTTTTGAAATGCTGTTTTCGAATTTTCAAAAAATATGAAGAGTTCACGGAAAATGGGACTAGCACCACAGTTTAATCCATCCGTAAAAAAACAGGAGGGGAAAATTTATTTTAAAAAAAAGGTTGTGTAAGAAAAACAAATAGTTTAAAATAACTTAAAATTGGCTACATTTCGCATTTTCAAAAAAATGTACATAACTATTTCCAGATGTCTTTAAAAATAATATTTCATTAACAAACAAATCCCTAGCTTTTATATTGTAGTTCTAGAAAGACTATTCCTCAAAAAATGTTTTGGAATTTTCAAAACTTAAGGGATTTCAACGAATATAGAGACCAGCACCATTAATTCTCTTAACGTCCCTTACACTATCCGAAAACACACTTATATTTAAAATATATGATGCCGTTTTTGAGGCTTCATGTAAAGTACCTTCAAAAATTAAAATATCTGTTTGAAACTCCCAAAGTTGCAACTGCATTTAGATCGATTTCGGATTATCGCTTGGGGGGGGGGGAATCATCTAAATGGTTAAGGCTAAATGGACCGAAAAATACTTATAGGAAAATTCAATAGATCACTGCACCATCACAGGGGAATTTACTTTACTGATAACGTCTGAACCAATGGTCCGATTTTCGATCTGTAAACGGCA